GGCACTTTTCACCACCACCATAATGGAGTTCAGCCTAGACTATGATGCTAAAGTCCTTATATGAGACTTGAATCCACAAATTTCTGATTCAGAGGTGAGAATGCTACCAACTGAGCTGGACTGACACCAGTATTAACGGATGCTTAGGCTTCTGGCTCTCCTAATGTTAACACAGAGTGACTGTTCTCCTTCGGCTTGCTGGCAAGGAGTCTATATTTAATGTTGCATCAGTAATGTATTTCAGTATTTTTACCAAATACTGGTCACAAAATGTATCTCGTGCACATGAAAACCAGTAGCAATACATTTGCATTTCCCTTGCTCGGTATTACATGTTGTTAATTTTAAGAAAACGTTAACGTAAAGTTTATAAAAAGAGAAACTGATTGGGGTAGATTTCTACCTGAGTTTGGATTTGCTCTTTTAACATAGAATAACAGGGTGTCCAGAATTTGGCGAATTCTTAAATACAGCCTGTAATTTGAAAACTGTTTTTTTTGTAAGTTTCTTTTAAGAACCACAGAGTCAAATCTGAATTCAGTTTTGACCTGATGCTCCCACCATCGGTCAATGAAAATTCATCCATTCTATCCATTTCTCTATGGAACTCCATCTCAGAGTCCCCGCCCCCCACTCAGTCCTAATTTTCATAAATCTTCTTAAGCCTTAACACATCTATCTTTTCGAATGCGATTGTGGCCAACATCTAACCCCCCTTTCCCCTCTACCCCAACACACACACACCAGTTCAGGCTCTTAGTCCTCTGTGTCAATGGTTTGAGATATCCTAGATGTAAAAGGCACAATATAAATGTAAATTGTTGCTTTAGTTGTTTAACTAAAACTGTTCCCACTGGAATCATCTTCCTGAACCATACATGGACTTTTATCTGGCAAATTTCAAATTCACATAAAATATTTCTAACTTAAATGGAATGGTTTAAGGCAAACGGTGGCTTATTCACCAGAGCAAGGTGCTGAAGTTTTGCATTACAATTGCAAAGATAATAAACAATCCACAAACAACATGGAAAGTTTTCTTTATATATACCAAATATAAAAATAAAAAGATTATTATTGGGGGCGAGAGAAAATGTCCGTGGCAACATACGGTGGGTGAGCCACTGAAATGAATGTCTTTGCCAGCAGAAACATCTGTGACCACTCTGAAGGTAATCTCTAACAGATGCAGTTTTATGTTCTCCTCTGGTTTATTCAGCCACAAAAATAAAACTGTAGAAATTAACTTGAACCGTGAATGGGAATGTTGCCATGAAATTGACAGGTGTCAAATACCAAATACGGATCAACAACTGGGGCTAAAATTCTATATATAATAAAATACTATATATTATAATATATATACATAATAAAAATACTGTATCATCCCTTACAAATTACACAGTTACTGCAAGTTTACAGTAATTCTTGTGAGGCACTCTGAGACATCCTTCTAGCATGAAAGGTGCTATATCAAATGTAAGACATATTATTTACAATAAACTCCTGATAACTAAACCCTGCCTTAACTACCACTTAACTCATCACGCTGTCAGTATCCCAGCGCATTTATTTATGTATCTATACATATGCCTAACTCACCACTCTGTATAACTCACAATTTTCCCTTGGAGTGACGAGCTATCAGGAGTTTAGTGTATATACTGTGCTTTCTAAACTGTGCATTCACAAATACAGCACAGATTAAATTATATACAATAGTAATCTCTTTCCCCACTTTTGTTTTTGGTCAGCCGGGTGTCTAACACATGCGGAATCCCATCACCATACTTAAGAGTTTCCAAACCAAGCTGAGAATTCCATGTACCCCTCCTACATAAGGAAATCCCAGAAATAGATTGTTGGAATGGATTGCGCACTCTCTCCCTGGAGGGACACATCCTGCTTACCTAATTCCGGAAAGTATTAGGAACCGGTTGGCAAGAGCCAAGGCTTGGGGTCCCCAGGGTATAGGTTTGAGTACAACCAGCTAAAACCACATAGCTTGCCATTGATACTGTTGTCCGGCAAGCTTTCCCACAGCTTGTCCAGCTATCCATTAGGACTTTGGCTTGCAGAGTTAATAGGAGCTGGGTGGGATTATTACCTGCCCCCACCCTCCCACACACACACACATACACTAACACAATGTAAAGAACACCAGCGTGCACCTAGCAGGTGTGAATAAGAGGGACACAGAGAACTCCGAGAAATATTCCTTCTGATTCTCGGATGAGGTTTTTTGTCCCCTAGAGGGCAGTGAGGACATGTGCAAAGAAATGATTTTCCATTTCACCTGCCACTGGATCGAGCTTCTCGTGCTCCTTTTGTGAAGAGTGAGGATTTGTATTGTTGACAAAGTGAGTCACAAAACTGGAATCCACCTTCATTTTTGGGTGTAAGCTGAATGGCACACGCATACACACAGAATAAGCTTTGGATCGTTATACAGGGTGACCAAAAAGTCGTGATACCATTACAATGTCCAATAAATCTTAAAGAAATGATGATTCTTTTCAGATAATAGGGTAATTATCACGACATTTTGGTCACCCGATATATATTAAAAAAGTTCCCTCACGAGCTTGGCATTGCATTTTTTTAAGTTGTTGGTGGTGGTGTTGTTGACGATTCTGTTGGTTATTTGACCATTTGACCACTTATTGGAGTGGAATATTTCAAGAAATACAGTAATATTTCTCTCTTCCCTGCACCCCCCCTCCCCACCTCCCCAACCACACACACACACAATTTCAGTAGCTATTTCACCCACAAAATATATAGTCAATTCACTTTACAGTGTAGTCTGTGAAGTGCTTTGAGACATCTCAGCGACGTAATAAGGCGTTATATCAAAGACAAGGATTATTATTATTTCAAATTGCACCAAAGTAGTATTGCTCTCTGTTCAGAGTAGCTAAAGTGCCAATTTCAGAAACCAACCTTTAATAACACTGGGTCTAAAAAAAATACCGATATTGTACTAAACCCCTCACACGCTTGCCCGACTCAGTAAGAAATGTAGAAGTCTTAAAATAACCCTTGAAGTAAAACACAAAAACACTTGAACCTGCAATCGGTTTATTGGTCTAAAGTGATTTTTGTTGCTTTTTCTCTTTTAAGACACAGTTTTGGCCAGATGTGTTAGTTTTCTAGTGAACCTAAAAGGACATAGTGTCCATTATACATTGACAAGACTAAACCTCTCTGCATCCTATTTATCACAAAAGTCGACCACGTGTGTTGCAGCCAGTAACACAGGTTATATGGCTTGTTACAGTAAACCACTAAAATCTAACACTCTCCCTATCCCTCTGTGAACACACACACACAGATAATAATAATAATTCTTGCATTTGATATAGCGCTTTTCACGTCGGGAGGACGTCCCAAAGCGCTTCACAGAACACACTGTAAAGTGAATTGACTGTATATTTGTGGGCGAACGCGGCAGCCAATTGCGCACAGCAATGTCCCACAAACAGTCGTGGATTGAAAATGACCAATTTATCATTGTTTTCAGCCACAACAAGAAGTAAACGCGTGGGGGGATGGAGGGAGAAACTTTTTATTTTGCTTTTGCATATGGGTTTTCAACACTCCTTTATAAAATAGATTTTTTTAACAAAAGAGTGGGGGGGTTGGGGGGGGGGTGGGGGGTGGGGGGGAAATCCTTCAGTTGTTAGAAGGGACTTTTGCAAATAGACCCACTAACAACAACAACAACCTCTCTGCATTGGCTTGAGCCACAGATACCTCTGTGCTGTCCCCAACACGTGTGGGTGGCACAACTTTATAGGCAACATCTGGTTTAATAAACCTCCTGGAAGAGGGGGGGTGGGGGGGGGGGGAAACACATCAATTCTACCCCCTTTTCCCCAATCACCCCCCCCCCCCTCCCTTGCTCTGGTCAGAGATATCCCAGCAGAGACCTGGCGATGTATCCGCTCTGCAACCACAGCAATTCATTGCATTACATTGGGAGTAGTTCGTTACACGTGAAACTGGAGACAGACAGAGAGAGAGAGAGAGAGAGAGACAGATGTTACAGAGAGTGAGTCGAGTTGTGGTAACGGACACCCACTCACTCCCGTTACCACACACATCGAAACCACACTCTCTCTCTCTCTCTCTCTCCCTTTCTTCCCCTCTCTCTCTCTCTCTCTCTCTGTGCACATTTGCGTACCTCTCCGGGTAGTGTTGGTGTTGGTGTTGGTGTTGGTGAGGAGGGGGTGAGGGGGTGGGGGGGGGGGTGGTGGGGGGAGAAGATACACACACACACACACACACACAAAAAAAAAGGAATTGCCTGGATTTGATTTGCAGAAAAAAGCAACGAAACCTCTTTGCAAGTTCTGCGCAACGAGAGTGGCGGAACCCTTCGCCTTTTGCACCGAAACCAATGCCGCCTTTCCAGTCCCCTCTTTCGTTAACGAAGAGACCGGCGTCAGTTTACGCCGATGCACATTGCTTCGTTAAGTGCATTTCACCGTTACAATGTATCCCCCCCCAACCCCCCCCACCCCCCCCCCACCCCCCACCAACCCCCTCCCCACACACTCCCTCTCTCCCTTTTGCCCATTTCCCTGTACGAACGAGTTAAAACGCGATGATTCGCAAGCAGCCAGATGTGTGGGGCAGATGCTGTGTGTGTTTAAAAAAAAACCCCTATCGAAAAAAAAGACAGATGATTCAGCAGTGACGCAAGGAATTAATTAGAAGATGAAAGGCCCCCTCTGTGCACCTCCCTGTGGTACGGTCTTGGCTGACACACTATTTAAAGGCAGGGTTCACAATACCCTGACACCAAAGGCAATCAGCCTCTGCAGAGAGAGCATTGGCTGTCTGGCTGTCAGGAGGACCATAAACCATCTCCAAACTTTGCAAAGTCCCCCCCCACCCCCCAACCCCCCCACCCCACTCCCCACCACTTCTTCACCAGCATCCAGTCTCGCTCTCTCGTTCTCTCCCACTCTCTCTCCTCCTCCTCCTCTCTCTCTCTCTCTCTCTCTCTCTCCCTCCTTCCTTCCTTTCTTTCTTTCTCCCTTCCCACTCTCAGCAAACACAGCACCCAGTTTTCCCGAAGATGCGATGCCTCTCCAGCTCTCGTGTGTTCCTGTGCTCGACCTTACTCTCCTTGGCTGTCGGGAGCGCTGTGGACGTCAACATGCTGGTCATCCTGCCCAAGGAGAACTCTTACCTGTTCTCCATCACCAGGGTCAGACCTGCCATCGATTACGCCATCCAGAACCTGGTTCAGTCCCCTTTCAATTTCAGCGTGAAGTATGTGGACTCTGAGTGTGGCAACATGGCCCTATTTCACCTGGTGGACATCTGCCTGGTGCAGAAACCCGACGTGATCGTGGGTCCTGTGTGTGACTATGCCTCTGCTCCGGTGGCCAGACTGGCATCTTATTGGAAGATCCCCATGGTCTCAGCCGGAGCTTTGGCTTCTGGCTTCGCCCACAAAAAACCAGAGTATTCCCATCTCACCCGTGTCTCCCCGGCTTATTCCAAAATGGGCGAGATGTTCTTGGCCATGTTCCGGCGCTACAGGTGGAAGAGGGTGGCTTTGGTCTTCGAAGATGACCTCCAAGAGAGGAACTGTTACTTCACCGTGGGAGGAGTGGACCACGCGTTCAAACAGGATGACATTCCGATCTACTCCACCGTGATCAGTGAGGACATGGACGAGGTGGAGATTGGGCACAAGGTGGAGGAGCTCAAGGAGAATGTCAGGAGTGAGTGTGTTTTTATTCACCCCCCCCCACTCCCCCCCAAAAAAAAACCATCGAATTTCATTTTAACCTCGTTTGCTTGTTGTCCAATTCTTTAAATTGGGTAGAATTTATATGAAAATGGGTGTGTTTGTATGTGGGAGGGGTGTGAATGGCTATAGCTATGTATAACTCCACACACGTTGAAATAGGTCAAACTGAGTCAATGCATAAAATGCTTAGGAGCTGCAAAAGCCACACATACATGGATGGACAGGTGCCTGCAAATATTCAATGAGAAGACTGATAAAGCTGATAAAGGATACACAGGCACAGGGGGTAAGGGGCCATGGGATGGGTGGATAGAGATGCAATCCGTATCAGTGTCAGATACAATATATTAGATTTAGATTAGTAAAGCGCCTTTCACATCAGGAGGATGTCCCAAGGTGTTGGACAGTCAGGGATTTGGACCAGAGCTGGGAGTCGGGATCAGGAAGGGTGGCCGAATGCTTGGTCGAAGAGGAGCGTTTTGAGACTCGCTTTGAGGAAGGTGAGGGAGAGAGCGAGGCGAAGGGAATGTGGGATGGAGTTCCATAGGGTGGGGGCAGAAAGGCTGAAGCCCGACTGCTGATGATGGAGGGTCTTGAAGGCGAGGACAAAGATTTTGAACTCTATCCTCTGGGGGATGTGGAGCCGGATGAGGGTGCGCTTGGGGGAGCCTGGTGCGGGAGAGGACACAAACTGCATAACGAGATAGATAAGCACATTGCAAGAAAGTCATGCAACATTTAAGTGAAAGATTAGGTAGGGGTGAAGGGTGCGCATGCACAGATTAGTTAGCAATACAAAAAGCAAAGTACTGCAGATGCTGGAAATCTGGTATAAACACATAAGTCGCTGGGAGCACTCAGCAGATCAGGCTGAAACAAAATCGATGAAGTTTTCCAGCTCGGGGTGAAAGCAGGAAGTCGCACCAACATAGCCGTCACTATATCGGAAGAAAAGGTCAGGGAGGGGACCAGAATCGGACTGGAACAGAAATTGTTCAATGTATCCCACAAGATTAGTTAGTTATGCATTGCACATTTGCAAGCAGAAGGGAGGCGATTACAAAACAGGTAACCTCCAAGCGGAGTAAGATTCAGGCAGGTTTGCAAACTGAAAAGCCTTGCTCATTCTGTATGAAACGTGCTGTGGAACATCCCTGCAAAACTGTCTTCTAACGCTGAGAGAGGGATTAACTATAGTGTAGTGCAGTTGGCGAAAGAGCCGAGTGTGCTGACTGCTCAGAGGGCTGGCTGACTTATTTGTTCTCAGCACAGAAAGCACATGTCTCTGGTTGAGCAAGTTTTTTTTTGCATCTGCGTTTCAAGTTTTTTTTTGTCTGTTTGGTGTAACAAACGGTTTGTGAATTGCTGGGGACCCTGGAGAAAGGACATTGGAAACAAATAGTAATAATAATAATAATAATAATAATATAGCGCCTTATCTCAACTTTGTGACGTCTCAAAGCACTTCACAGCATATACTGGAAAGTGAATTGACTGTATATTTTGCGGACAAAACAGTAGCAGTGACACCACTTTGGTGAAATTGATATTGGCACCACAGCATGTTGGTTAGAGCAGATTACCTTCCAGGAGTAATAATCCCATTAAAAAAAGGTAATTTGGTCATTCAATCCATGACTGCTTATGGACACTGCTGTGCGCAATTGGCTGCCGCGTTTCATCCACAAAATATACAGTCGATTCACTTCACAGTATATTCTGTGAAGTGTTTTGAGACGTCTCAACAATGTGATAAGGTGTTATATCAAATGCAAGAATTATTATTGTCACCACGAAGCACATAAGGGAAACACCGAGCTCAATGCAGACAGTGCTACATCGCATCACAAAGCTGGGAATCCAGCTGTTTAAGCAAATATATTTGGATACATTGAAGAAAAGCGACAAATGTGGCCAGTCAGATGTCCCTATCTGAAATTATCTGACATTCAGCCAAACTAATTTGTACAGTATCTATAACCTGCAGGAAATTAAAACGTTGATACTAAATGCAATACAGGCTTGGGCATAACATCACTCACTGTAGGCAGGTGTAATATACTGTTGACTGGCCACAGATTGATATCAGAGTGATACTGATCTTGTTTAATAGTACTTGAATTTAAAAAAATGATAGCCTTTGTGTTCCAACTTTGCACCGCTTGTGGTATTTATGAATTCAGCACAGGTTATAATAAGGAGTGAAGTGAAGCACGGTGACTGGAAAGAAGGGGAATAAAAGTGAAAGCAATTTTGCCCCCCAAAAATGCAGTCAATTCATTTTACAGCATATTCTGTGAAGTGCTTTGAGACGTCTCGATGATGTGAAAAGGTGCTACATCAATTGCAAGGATTATTATTATTATTAAAAGATGCAGAAACAAGATCAAACTGAGCTCAAAGAGAGCAATAATTTCTAAATGTCCAAATGTGTGTGCGTGTTCATGTGCGTATGTTTGGTAAATACAGTCATGTGTTTTTGTGGTAACTAATAGTTTATAAAAATGGTAAGGGTTACTTTCAGCAATGTACATATTATGCTGTATGGTACTTAATGAACTCTGTTGGTTTTTCACAGTGTTTATTTTCTGCACCTGAACACAAGCTAATGCTGTTTTAGCTTGTGGACCTTTCCTTTAGTAAACTGTTCAATTGGTTTGATGTAAATCTTTATCTCTACCACATAACCCTTTGACTTCTACATCTCTTTCTGTGTTAACATCATATTGAAATTTACACTCAGCAATATCCACAAACAGTCAAGCAGTGAATAATCAGTTTTATCTGTGGATTGGTGGCCAAAACACTGGGAGAAACTCCCTTTTCTTTTCAAATAGTGCAATGGCATTGTTAACATCTATTGACTCCTTCAACCTCGTGCTGATAAACCTCCTCAGCACAACTCAGCACATCTCCAGACTAAATCTCCAAACCTCATATTCTCTCCCACAAAGGGCTCTGCAAGCCATTTGCTCTATCCTTACTGGGTTCCATTGGCCTCAGTATCCCGCCACTGATCAGCATTTAAAATCATTGTCCTTATTTACAAAGATTTGCCCCACCCTATCTCTGTGATCTCCTGTAGTCCTGCTCTATTGCCAGTTTCCTCTGCTCCGCTATCTCCAGCTTACTTCATGTCCTCTCCCATTCTATCCCACTAATCAGTGGGCAAGCTTTCATCTACTTCCCTGGCTCTCTGCAACTCCCTCCATCTCTGCACTCAAAACCAATGTAAAAACCTCTGTCTGTGACTTCAGCTACCTCTCCCAACCTTTCTGTCTCCTACCAACTTGGATTCTCACTCGACCTCTGTAAAGTATTTTGAGATGTTTTCCTACGTGAAAGCGCCTATATAAGTGTGAATTGTTGTTGGGAAGTTTTTAAACTTCTCTCCCATATTTAGTACTGTTGAATATTTTATATTTTAAAACAGTCAAACGTTTAACTGTATTTTGACTAATAACTAGAGACTTGTTTGCAGAATTAACATATTCAAAGTTGTGTATTATTGTCATACTCCAAAATCTGGGTTCATGACCCACATTGGAACTTTATACACAATCTAGGCTGAAAGTCCAGTGCAATGTCAGGAAGCTTGTTGCATTGTCAGAGTTGTTGTTCTTTAGATGAAATGTTAAACTGAGGTAGCTTTTACCTGATCAAATGGATGTTAATAATATCATTGCACAATTTGAAAAGAAAAGGGAGTTTCTCCCAGTATTTTGGCCAACAATCCCAGATAAAATTGGTTATTCACTTCTTGGCTGTTCGTGGGATATTGCTGAGTACAAATTTGCTGCTGTGTTTGTGTTCCATACTAAAATCCTTGTAAAATCCCTCAAGCGCTCCGAGACGCTGTCCGGAGTGAAGGGTACTATATAAACACAAGTTGTTGTAAAGTACTTTTGAGATGTACAGATGATGAGATAAGGAACCATATCAAAGGCAAGGATTTAGTATTATCTGAAGATCAGCACTTGTTAGCTCAGTGCTTATCAATGGCCAAGTGCCATTCAACATTTACTTTTGCCCAGCAACAAATACAATACTACTTCAGACAGTATGGATGCCTTGAAGAGGAAGCTACACATTCACATCAGAAAAAGATCAGTAGAAAGTTTACCAAGGAATAGAAGGTTATAGGAATGAGTACAGAATGGGTGGAGACTTGTGCGGAGTATAAACACTGGCACGGTGTAGGACTGGTTGGGCCGAGTGGTCTGTTTCGGTGCTGTACGTTCCTTGTAAATCTTTGTACTTCTAGTGTTCAGGCCAACAATCTTCCAGATTCATTGTCCCTCATCGTATGGCTGTCTGTGGGACCTTGCTAGCACAAATGGCTACCGCATTTGCCTACAAAAGTCACCGCCCTTGACAGAAATTACTTGTGAAGTGATTTAAAATATTGTACGCACTAAGTTTCGCATCAGAAACTGCCCTTAAATCTATCATTTTCTCAGTACATATGCGCCTGTACATGATTAAGCCAACCTGCAAATTAGGTTCCAGTGTGTTCATTGTCATCTGGCAATGCATTTCCTGCAAATAATAATAGAATAATAGTTCTTCAATGTGACTGCAGTTTATATAGATACCATAGAGTCTTTCCATGAACAATATTTTTTAAGGATGCTGTACAGCTAGGTTTTGTCAGTGGTGCAGGAAATTTAATCAGCACAGGTGCACTGATGGATTTTTCTGTGTGAAAGTCAAATCAGTATTAGTGCATTAATTGGACTGATGTGGCAAAAGTACATCTCTACAGATACAGAAGACAATCCCCTGTTTAGAAAACAGCAGCGTTGGCGATGGTACATTAATTAAGTTGTCAGCTTGAAAGCAAATCAGTGCAGGAGGAGGAAGCAGCTTTCAGTGTGAATTATAGGAGTGAAATTCACAATAATTATCACAAGAAGCGAGTTATGAAATATCACAAATATCCTAAAATTAGAACAAGTAAATCAACGGAAAGCTTACCTGCTATTGCAGTTGGAATTAAAGGAATGCATTGGTTAGGGGCTTGGAAAGAATCCGTGAATGATGTGGTCATTTCTATTTAATCTTTACTTTTGATGTCATCATGATCAGTGAGGAACCGAGTCATAAAAAACATAATAATAATAATAATAATCCTTGCATTTGATATAGCGCTTTTCACGTCGGGAGGATGTCCCAAAGCGCTTCACAGAACACACTGTAAAGTGAATTGACTGTATATTTGTGGGCGAACGCGACAGCCAATTGCGCACAGCAGTGTCCCACAAACAGTCATAGGTTGAAAATGACCAATTTATTATTGTTTTTGGTTTTTGGAGGGATTATTATTAGGCTCTGTGTGGAGTAAGGAAACTTGCCCAAGGTTTCGTCCTGCCTGGAATTGAACTCAAGTCTCTCGCTTGCAAAGCGAGTGCTCTAATCACTGAGCTACAGGACTCCACAAAGTGGGGGCTCAGCAAGTGTGCAAAAGAGCAAGTTTATGATTTAAGCTTTGGCTATTGCTAATGGGTGCCTAACACTTTCCAGGTAAACAGGATGCATTGCCTCCCTCTGGGAAGAAAGTGCGCATTCTATTCCAGACACACAGAAATTTCCAAAATAGGTAGCATGCATATGTGGAGCTGTCAGTCTGGTTCAGATACTCTTAAGCATGGCGATGGGTTTCTAAATGTGTCAGGCACCTGTCTGACCAAATTAAAAGATTTAAACAAAACACAAAATACTGCAGATGCTGGAAATCTGAAACAAAAATCAGAAGTCACTGGGAACACTCAGCAGGTCAAGCTGCATCTATGGAGAAAGGAAAGTGAGTCAACGTTTCGGGTTCACGACTCTTCGTCAGAAGATTTAAGTGTGAGGTTGAAGGAAGTCTCATTAATGGAGAGGAGGCTGAAGGGGTGGGTGAGTTTATACAGCTGGCAAGTTGCGTGCTTCATGAAGAGGGGTTTAATAGAAAGAAGCGGAGAGGTGCATTGTTCTGACTGGATGTGTGGAACTGTACAAAACACTGTGGTGTAGGAGGCAAGGATTGAAAGTTGGATGCTGTGTGTCCACTCTAACACTTCTTAATGTCACCGAGTGCTGAACCCAGATCAAGGCAGAGAAGCAAAAGGTGAATGAGGTTAGAAAATCCTTTGCAGGATGCTGGACACCAAATGGGAAGACTGGAGGTCCTGTAGCGTAGTGGTTGGAGCATTCACCTCTCAAGTAAGAAGACCTGGGTTTGATTGCAGGGCACAGCAAAGCCTTAAGCAAGTTTCCTTACTCTGCATGCTTTTGTTTACTTAGCAGTGTATAAGAACCTGGTTGTTAGTTGATTGCTTTCCAGTGGTAATAATCCCTTCAAAAAAATATATCAATAATAATTTGGTTACTCAATCCACGACTGTTTGTGGGACACTGCTGTGTGCAGTTGGCTGCCACGTTCCGCGCAGTAAACATACAGTCGCTTCACTTTATAGTATATTCGGTGAAGCGCTTTGAGATGTCTCAACGATGTGATAGATTGCTACATCACATGCAAGGATTATTATTAGGATGGACAATATTGTCACAAAAAGAAGCTTTCACGCAGAATAAAATACATTATGGCACAAAGATTGCAAGGGACAGGAGATGTAACTTGCAAGAGTGAAGATTGGTACCCTCAGAAAGTGGAAGTGAGAGAATGCTGCCAATTGGATAGACCAAATCTGAGAGGACTGGTCTGTGCATAGACAGCCAAATGGCTTTAGGAACTGGCATTCGAAGAACTCAATGACAAGGCTCTGTGTCATCAGTCGCCAGACTGGTTATGAGAATCATGCTTATTCCTTAAAAGTTACTAGAAGATGTAGACTACATCGTTGGAAACAATGCACACAATCCTTTTGAACTATTTTTGCTGATATAATTATCATAGTAGATTTACATTTATGTTACGATTTCCTTGTTGACCACAATATGTTGTTACGGAATCACATCTAGAAATGAATGGAATCTTTTGTAGATCACTGCCATGTGTTGCAACCAGTGTTGCTCAATAGAGTGGCCAGCTGCACAAAGAATTTATTGATGTATAATTTTATTGTTGGTTTCTCAGTAGAGCAAACCTGGTTTAGTTTTACTTGGTTAAAAAAAAACTGAAACGATTTAGATGTTTAATATGTAGAAGTAATGAAATTGGAATAGTTTCCATTAAACAGTGATGTTTTTGCACACAATCGCCAAAAACGTTTGCAGTTACTTAGAAACAGATCCAAGCTGTTGTGCAATTTTTTTCCAACACACTCTCATTATAGATAAAGGTGCAATAGCGTTTTCAATTTTGTCAGTGATACGTATGTTTGGAATGTCATACTGAAGAGAAGAGAAGGTTTACTCCCATGTTAAGATGTCCTCCCACAACTGTATCAAATTAGAGCTGACTTGAAGCTATATCTTAACCGTGGACTGTCAGGAGAGCCAGAAAAAGCTGTACATTCTTTTGTATGTGCTTTGAGATGTCCTCCTGATGTGGAAGCTGTGATATAAATGTAAGTTGTATTGATGTCTGTGCTTGGGCATAAAGTGAAAACATTTGTTTGATCCAGCGAAGCAATTTGCAGCATCTCATCGCGCAGTTGGCAAATAAATGGAAGATTTGTGAAATATTTTCTTGAGGCACTGCAGAATTTAAGGTAGTGTTTATATAAAGCATGGACTCACATAATTTGTATAACTAACTTTCATGTCTATTTCAGATGCAAAGCATTGCACATTACGTGATAAAAATAATCTCAGTTTGCGTAAACAGAGAAGAAAACAGTTCAGATTTATAAATACTGTAATAATAAAACTTGTACAAATAGTTTTTCATGATCTTTTCTTGCAGTGTGTCCATATTACCAAAGCGCAGCTGTACATTGCCAAATGCCAACAGTGTCTAAATATTTAGTGGAGTATTCTATTTGTTGATGATGCAATGCAGTTTTTTTTCTCCTTGCATAAATTATCTTTTATTTGATATTATGGAGACAAAGGCAACTGTGTCTAAATATTTAGGAGACGCTTATATGTTGATGATGCAATGCAGTCTTTTCTCCTTGCATAAATTGTCTTGTGTTCAAAACCCTCCATGGCCTTGCTCCTCCCTACCTCTGTGACCTGCTAACTCCATATAAACCTGCCCACTCTCTCTGCTCAGCAGACTCCAGATCCTCCATGTCCTTCGTCCTGCCCACCTCACCGTCGGTGGTCAGACCTTCAGCTTCTCTGTCATCACCCTTTGGAAGTACATCCCACAGTCCTATCCCCTCGCTCCCTTCCTTGCCTCCTTCAAGGCCCCTTTCAAGACCCTCCTCTTCGACCTTGTCTTTGGGCACCCACCTGCCCTCCATGCTTGTTGATCCCAACCTCCAGCTCAGGTCAAAATCCCTAACTGTCCAGCGCTTTGGGATGTCCTCCAATGTGACAGGCATTATGCAAGTGTAATTTATTGTTGTCATCTTTTATTTGAAACTATGGCGGGAAAGAGTAACCCAAACGGGGAGGGCGGTGCGGGGAGAGTGGGGTAATGCAACGTTGTATTAGAAGTTAATGCAACAGTTGACTCTTTTGGGAAATGTCAATGATAAATTAGTGTTTGCTGAAGAAATATTTTGCTTTTCCTCTTTTGCAGTTGTTATTATGTGTGCATCAAGTCAAAACATCCGGAAAGTTATGCTGGAAGCACATCGGCAGGGAATGACAAAAGGAGACTATGTATTCTTCAACATCGAACTCTTCAACAGTAGTACATTTGGTATATTTGTTTCCATATTTACATATATCATTAATTCATGTGTTTATTTAACCCTTGTCGCTCCGAAACTCTGGAACACTCTTCCTCTAACCCTCCGCCTTGTCCCCCCTTTTCCCATCTTCAGGTCGCACCTGAAAACCTTCCTAATCACCTCCCCCTCGCAAGCGAGAGGATCTGGGTTTCATTCCTGGGTAGGGCGAAACCTTGCAGGTTTCCATACTCCACACACCTCTGTTCACCTAGCAGTCAGTAGGAACTCGGTTGTTAGTCAATGGGCGGATCGCTTTCCAGGGGTAATAATCCCTCCAAAAAAGAAAATTCGATCACTCGATCCACACTGCTGGGTGCAATTGGTTGTCATGTTTCACCCACAAAACACACAATCAATCCACTTTACAATATATTCTGTGGAGTCTGGTAGCTCAGTGGTTAGAGGGCTCACCTCGCAGGCGAGAGACCTGGGTTCGACCATGCTTTCGATCTCCCTGCTTCTCCCCCTCCACTCCACACTCCCTGACCCCCAGCTCGGGTCCGTAACTCTGTCTGTCCCAGCACCTTGGGAAGTCCTCCCGATGTGAAAGGCGCAATACAAATGTAATTTTGTTGTTGTTATTCGATTTCCGGCATGGCGAGATGTTGGGCAAGTTTCCTTATTCCACACGCCTCTGTTTACCTAGCAGTAAGTAGGAACCTGGTTGTTAGTCGATTGGTGGATCGCTTTTCCAGAGATAATAATCCTTAAAAAAAAATTGGTCACTAAATCCACAACTGTTTGTGGGACACTGCTGTGTGCAATTGGCTGCCGTGTTTTGCCCACAAATATAGTCAATTCACTTTACAGTATATTTTGTGAAGTGCTTTGAGATGTCTTGAAGACGTAATATGGCACTATATCAAATGCAAGGATTATTATTATTGAATGATGTTATGGCTTTCTCCATATCAGAACACGCAAATGTACCTAGAACGATTGAAGTTGCTGAGTATTATTATTCTGTGAAGCTCTTTGAGACGTCTCAATGATGTGTTAAAGCACTATATCAATTGCAAGTATTATTATTATTTAAGGTACTTTATTACAGGTGTCTTATGAGAGGTTAGTATTAAACATGCCTACTTTGGTAATGTGTGATCCTATTGGGGAAACCCCATCTAAGGCCAACCTCGTCAATGTGAATACATCTAACACCAAGCAGAATATTAGCCAAATGTGTCTGCGAGTTTACATTAGCAAAGGGTTTAAGGCAATCACTTATTTGGTCCCTATTGAATAGTGAATGTGATGATCTAGCTTGAGATAAAAATAAGTAAGGAAAACACAAAATAAAATATTGCAATACTTTGTTGCTCTGAATACAATCATGTTTACTGAGACCCATCCGATTTCTTTTATTTGTTTCCTGATTGTTCAACTTATTTTCTTTCTTGTTTTTAGGACCACCCCCTTCCCCTGTACCACACAATACTAGATGATTGAGAGGACAGTCAACGTTCCCTGTTCCCAAACCTCGGGAGGAGGCTAGAAATGACAGTCGATTTTCTCCTTTATGCAAATACCTCAGTCGCGCCCACTTTGCAATGTCCACTGAATGATTGGGTGACGTGAGAATGAGATGGTGAATCCTTTTAACCAACCTATTCAGCACAGGCAGTGCTAACAAGTGACCAATAGCAGATGAGGCATTCTTCTGATGATACGTTAAACCGAGTTCCCGTCTGCCTGTTCAGGTGGATGTTAAAGTTCCCATGGCACTGTGCGAAAAGAGAAGGGAGTTTTTCCCAGTGTCCTGGCCAACAATCCTCCAAATAATATTGGTCAGTCACTCCATGGATGTTTGTGGGACAACATTGCTTTGTGCAGCTGGCTGCTGCATTTTTCCCACAAAATGCACAGTCAATCCACTTTACAGAATGTCCTGTGAAGGACTTTGAGATGTCTCAACGATGTGATGAGGTTCTATATCAAATGCAAAATTATTATTATATCCACACTCTTTCCAAACTGGTGTGTTTGGAATATATCACAATTTGTAGAAAGAGGATTCAAAAATGTGACTTTGGTGGTTGTGTTACCAATTAGTTACTTGTTCAACATTCTTTAGGAATTATACTTCAATGGGATTTAGTTCTACCTCTTCAATTTGCCAACAATCACCAGATCATCAGAAGTGAAATTAGGATTAAGAAACCCCTTTTGCCCATTTATAATAATAGTCCTTGTATTTGATATAGCGCCCTATCACGTGTTCGAGACGTCTCAAAGCATTTCACAGAATATACTGTGAAGTGAATTGATTGTATATTTTGTGGGCGAACGCAGCAGCCAATTGCACACAGTATTGTTCCCCAAAACAGTTGTGGATTTGATCTTATCCTTCCAGAAAAGCATTCCTTACCGTCCTCCCATTATAGCATCAAGCTGTTTCGTGAATAAGTCCATGTGGTTATTATGGTAATCCATTCCAGCTGTTGGTTACCCTTTATTAGGTAAACCAAAACCTAATTTATACTAAATTAGAGGTCATTATGCCATTGTTTTGCAATGGGATTTCTGCTTCTAGCGATCTTTATCAACTTTCACTACCGAGTACATTGTGCAGTTAAAAGCATATAGTATTAAAAATTGTACAGACATATAAATTAAGTCCAATTAATATCATAAACACATCTACTTTGCATATTACTGTGAAGCACTTTGCGACGCTGCTGCACGTAAATGGCGCTATATAAATGCATGTTGTTGCTGATAGATCTGAAGACCCTATTATTCGATCATGCCTTTGGTCACCCTCCTACTCCTACTCTCCATGCCCTTCACCCCATCTGATCCCAACCCCTGTCTCTGGTCCAAATACCTGATGGCCCAGTGCCTTGGGACATCCTCCGGACATGAAAGGTGCTTTACAAATGCAATTTGTTGTTGTTGTTGATAGGTTTTAGGAAATCAGACAGCTCTGAATGCAGCGAAAGCACTTATAAAATTGTGTAAAATATAAATTAACGTAGAACTTTCTGTTTTACCCTCAGGCAATGGCTCGTGGAAACAAGGAGACGCATTTGATTCTGTAGCAAAGCAAGCATATCGTTCACTTCAGACCGTCACACTACTCAGGACAGCAAAGCAAAAGTTTTACAAATTTGCTGCTGATATGAAAAATAGATCTCGGCAACAGTTGAACTACAAAGATGATAATGTACGTAAGTCTGAAGTGCAATTTTATGAAATAACCGCAAGGTCAGAACACTTCAGTTCAGAAAGATTGAGGGACATCCAATAAGTGAAAGGTCATGAGCCAATGAAGCCAGCACAACCCTTGTGAAAGACTATCTGCTAGCAAATAGAAATTTAATTAGCATCTCAGAGCTAAGTGAAAGATTACCTCAACCAACCCCTGCCCCCATGCCTGCTAAAGGTCACACATGAAATGAGTTATGTTCATTTACCCTAAAGCAAACATGAGCTTCAGTTTACAGACAACTGCTTTTACTTAGGCTTTGTAGTGAGGGTTTCAGTTGATACTTTTGAAAGATGAAGTCAAGGGTGATCTTTTTGATACTCAATGCAGGAACATGAAAGTCTGTCTTCAGTGGACAACTTTAGCTAGTGATCAGCTGAGAAGTTTAATAATAATCCTTGCATTTGATATAGTGCCTTTCTTTTTAGTTCATAGTACAATCCTGTGAAGTACTTTCAGATGTACTCCCGAAGAGAAAGGCGCTACATCAAAAGAAAGGATTATTTATTTATGTACGTATTTGTAGGTGAACACAGCAGCCAATTATGCACACAACAATATATCATAGCCTCGATTGAACAATTAATTTTATCTACAGATATTTTAATAATACTGTACTTGCATTTGATACAGTGCCTTTTCATGTCATCGAGATGTCTCAAAGCACTTCACAGGATATACTGTTTCACTATGTATTTTTTGTGACCAGGACACCAGGAGAAACTTCCATCTCTTTTTAAATAGTGCTCTAGGATCTTCACTTGAATAGCAAGTCAGAATCTTGGTTTAACATCTTATCTGAAGGAAAACTTGAATGCTTTTCTTTTCATCACTTTGAACTATGTGGAGTCCTGTAGCTCAGTGGTTAGAGCACTCGCCTTGCAAGCGAAACACCTGGGTTCAATTCCAGGCAGGGCGAAACCTTGGGCAAGTTTCCTTACTTCACACGCCTAATAATAAACCCTCCAAAACAAAACGATAATAAATTGGTCATTTTCAATCCACGACTGTTTGTGGGACACTGCTGTGCACAATTGGTTGCTGCGTTTCGCCCATAAATATACAGTCAATTCACTTTACAGCATATTTTGTGAAGTGCTTTGAGACGTCTAGAAGACGTGAAAAGCGCTATATCAAATGCAAGGATTATTATTATAACTGCTAAGAAGTAATGGTGGATTTCTATAAAGATGCTGTTCATTTAACAGGACTTGTTTCTGCATCTTAACATCGGAGTCTATTTTACACTGATCACTAACAATAATAATCTTGGGATTTATAACAGCAATCCTTGCATTTGCTGTACCTCCTTTTCGCATTGTTCATGTGTCTTATAGCGCTTGAATGATTTTTACTATGCAGGGTAATCACTGTGTATTTTGTAGGCATAATTTTTCTTTTTATTGCTCCTGCATGTTATGTTTTATTATTTTTTATTTTATTTATTAAAACAAATGTTTTTATCATCATCCGGGGATAATAATCCCATCAAAATAAATTTTAAAAATATAATAATAATAATTTGGTTACTCAATCCACGACTGTTTGTGGGACACTGCTGTGTGCAATTGGCTGCCGCGTTTCGCCCACAAAATATACAGTCAATTCACTTCACAGTATATTCTGTGAAGCGCTTTGAGACGTCTCGAAGACGTGATAAGGCGCTGTATCAAGTGCACTGATTATTAATATTATAATCAGCAGCCAATTTGCGCACAGCAACGTCCCAAAAATAGTCATGAAGTGAATGAGCAATTTTTATTTGGAGAATTATTGGCCGGTTATTGGCAGAAGCTACCTACTCTTTTAATTTTTGGGGGGGTCACCTGGATGTCTGACAAATGCGGAAACCCATCACCATGCTTAAGAGTATCCATCCAAACTGAGAGTTACACGTTCGCCACCAATATGTGGAAATTCCAGAAATGTTTATTGGAATGGGGTGCGCACTCTCTGCTTGGAGGGACACATCCTGCTTACCTAATTCCACAAAGTATTAATAATAAGAATAAACCTTACATTTGATATATAATACAAAATTATATTTGTATAGCGCCTTTCACGGGAGGACATCCCAAGGCGCCTTATCACGTCTTCAAGACGTCTCAAACGCTTCACAGGTTGACAAGAGCCAAGGCTTGGGGACCCCAGAGTATGTGTTGCGGTACTGCTGGAGTCTAACCAGCTAAAACCACATAGCTTGCCATTGATATCACTTTCTGGCACGATTTCCTGCTGCTTATCCAGCCAGGACCACCCTGTCCATTAGGGCTTTGGCTTGCAGAGTTAACAGGAGCTGATTTGCCCTTCCAAGTCCTGCCGATGAGCGAGCCTGAGTGTGCTATCGTTAACAGTGCTCTGGCGTCCTGCGGCCCCACGTGGTCAGGAATTGGACTACTGAGACCTCTAAAGAGGACTGGCTGGATTCTGACATTCCATTGCCAAACATGTCACCTTGGAGCCAGTTCAGCTCCCAAGGAGACCCCACTTACCTCCCCCCAAAGCAGATAGTCACTAGTTGGTTGGTTATTCTCTTTTCAAATAGTGGTATGGAATTTTTAATATCATCCTGGATAGGCAGACAGGACTTTGGTTTAATGTCTCATTCAAAGGATTGGGGTACCATTAAAAAGAGTTAATGAAAGATTGCTATTTTTAGCAGGCAGCTTATGAGATTCCAAATCTGTTAGGTAATTAAACACAAACCTTAAGCGATCACTTATCATTACTGGTTTGTTTTTAAACATTGCCTGACTGGGAGCTAGAGCTGTTTGTTTGCTGATATTATCTACAAACATCTTATTCTGAATTTGGTGAATTTGCCAATGTATTTTCTAAGGAGCAATAACCCTGACTAGTTTTCTCCATCCTTAGACTGGGTGCTGAGGCTAATCTTTGCATCTTGATCACCAATTATGATAAGAACATCTAGCTCAGAATCCTTAATGCTTGATAGTGCCCCTTATCATGCAATGGGAATGGCTCAAAGTCTCACAAAAATTTATTGTGAAGTGTGGCATTCCAGCCACTACTCCCCGGAGCTTTGGAACTCTCTCCCCCAATATTTCCCTTGACCCCCTCCATCCCCTCTTTTAGATCACGACTGAAGACCTTCCTCTTCAACTGTGCTTACAGTCACCTCCTTCTTCCCCCCGCCTCGGAGTCAGACTCCGTCATTGTTAAGCGCTCTGAGACGTGCCCCACTTAAAGGGCGCTATAAAAATGCAAGTTACTGTTGTTGCTGATGTTGTTGAACATGAATCCTTCCTAATATGTTGCATTTAGTTACTCACTGAATAAAACTTGCTGAGCCAGTGGGTAGTTCAGAGATTCCATTACTTGACCTCAAATCAGGCTGGTAGGGATTCACAGCTGGTGTTGCAAGTGACTCCAGGCCGCTTCAGTACAGCTACCTCCCGATCTTGCCTGGTGTGTAACCTCCAGCCACAAAGTTCTTTATGGTTAGTATGGGAAGCTGTTTTCCACAATAAAATAGAAGAGGAATTTTCCAAACTTCTGCAGGATATAACATTTTAAGACAATGGTCCACAATCCATTCGCTCACAAAATCAAGGTCAGTCCATTCTACATCGTATTCTGTGAAGCACTTCGGGACGTCCTTCTGTTGTGAAAGGTGCTATACCAAATGTAATGATGCTGATGATTATTATTTAATAATAATAAGTATAAAATGTTTCTAGCAGATGAACCACTAGACTTGATAGGGCTCTGGTCCTTTTTTTGTTCTTTCCTTTCCATGTTATTTTTGCCTTCAGCTCTACCATCCCAGCTATTCCTTTCGCTCAGCAAACACTGATCTTCTTCATGTCCCCCATCCTATCATCGCCTGCCCTATTCACCTCGCTATCGGCAGGTGAGCTTTCAGTCATTCTGCCTTCGCTCTCTCTGGAACTCCATCCTGGAGTCCCCTCCGACTCGCTCTCTCCCCTCGTTCAAGGCCCATCTCAGAACATACCTCTTTGACTACTCTTTTGATCATCTTTCCTCTCTCTACTTGTTTGACTCCTATCCCCATTTGCCAAGTACTTTGAGATGTCTCTCAGTCTGAAAAATCCTATATAAATGTCAATTATATTGTATGAACACAGTCACTGCAACTTACAGTATGAAAGTTTCCTATGAAACTCTTTCAGATGTTATTAATAATATTATTATTATGATTTTTCGATGGCTTGCCCTGTATCAAATGCATGGATTATTCCCTTTATGATCTTTCTTACATTTCTCTACCATGAGCTCTAATTTGCATTTCCATGAAGAGAAATTGGAAATTCCACATCATCTTCAGTAAGAATGCTTCTTACTGTCATAAAAAGTGATCTGTAAATTCCAGTAAAGTGAATACTTTGTTCTGTTTTGCCCTGATTAAATACACAACCAAAGATTCAGGGCAAATGTCACACAGCAACCTCCTGAATAGGTTGAATGGGTTCTGCTATTTCAAAGAGCTGCGAAACAAGAGATTGTACAACAGGAAATTCCTACTGAGAATCAACTAGAAGCAACTTTCAGGCAAATGGGTTATTTTCTTAGGAAGAATTGATTGCGGAGGAATAGAATTGAGAAGTTAGTTTATTTATTTGATTGGTCAGTACTCTCAAAGGAAAGCCTCAATGATTTTTTTTGTTCAGTCGGGTGTTTGATGCATTTGGAAACTCATCACTATGCTTAAGTGTATCCAAAACAAATTTGAGTGTTCCACATATGTATGGTACTTATGCATGAAAATTTACCTGTTCCTGGAATGAGCAATCTATCCCTGAAGGAATGCACCTTGATAATTCTGCAGTGTATTAGGCATATGTTGGCAAGGTACAAGGTTTGCCAACTCCAGAGAGTGTGTTTGGGTACTGCTGGAGTCTAACATACAAAAACAACAACTTGCATTTATATAGCACATTTCATACAGGGTAGTGTCTCAGAGTGCTTAACCAGCT